GGGCCACGAAATATGTGAAGTTGAGAATAGTCGAAACATTAAGACAAACGAGTGCAGGAGGCAATGCACGTGAAGTTTGAAACACTTACGATCTGAAATAAAGATAGGTTAGTTTAAGTGACTCAAAAAGTGAGACTGAAAACGGTTATGAAGATATGAAAAGAAAGGTGAGAGAATAGAACAAAAATATATATAATCATTTTGCACCGCCATGGCATAAAAGCTATATTTTTTCGTAAAAATCTCGGTTGCAGCCACAACATCGCACAAAGTAAATATTAAGAAGATTTTATTTGGTTGTTATTAAACGTCAATCTACACAAACAGCATTCTGTATTTTGCCCACCGCATGTATCGAAACCAGATTTTTAGCGTTATAAGTCCTCAGATTTGCCGTTGTGCCATCGGGGGGAGGGGTCTAGTAAGAACAACCATGAGAAAAGTTTATGTATTATAAATATATATTAAGATGTTTATATTTCATAAGTCTATGCTTGAAGGTTATGCGAAGCTGAATTTAAAACAGTAGAGTAAAATAGTTTAAAATATTTAAAAACACAGTGATTCAATTTAATAAGTATGTTAATTTAAGCTTGAATGAATGTAAGTTAATATGATGGAAAGTTGGAGAGGTAGAACGCACGAAGAAAATATATTAACACGTATCATTTATTTTTCAATTTGTCATTTTGGTTATGAGGAAGTTCAATAAATTTGGAATTGCAATTTTCAGCCTGAACGGCATTTTATGGGAACTTGGGCTAAATATTAGTGTTCAGAAACTTATTTGAATTTTATATTGTGCGCAGGCATGAAACTAAAGAGACGCCCGACGTACCTCATAAATCAAAAGATTTTATAACTCAGCCTTGTTCTTTTGTTTTTTATTTAAAGAATAACTGAATTTTCCAATAATTCCCGACGTTGATTAATTCTCTTGATGTTAGTTTGATTTAAGTAATAGATGTATTTGTAACCTTGTTTTTAATTATTTATGCAAAGTTCCCCCGTTATTTACCGTCACATAGTTTTGTCAGGGTTTATTTTAACTTTCGCGCAAAGCTACACGAGAGCTTACTGCGTTAGACGTCCCTAATTTAGCAGTGTAAGACTAGAGGGAAGGCGGCTAGTCATCATTACCCACCGCCAACTCTTGGGCTACTCTTTTTACCAACGAATAGTGGGATTGACCGTCACATTATTACGCCCCCACGGCTGAAAGGGCGAGTATGTTTGGTGGGACGGGGATTTGAACCCGCAACCTGCAGATTGCGAATCGAGCACCCTAACCACCTGGTCATAGTTTTATTAGTAACACCAGACTATATTCTATGATAAATATTATAGGAACTGCAGGTTATTTTTTCTCACACTTCTATTAATTTGTTCATTTTTGATTAAAAATCAGAGGTATGTAAAAATAGTATTTAGTTTTATCTTCTGCCTACGACAAGTTATTGCTCAAGTTTTAGAGATATTGATTTCTAATGCTGAGCAAGCTTTCGACGTTTAAAAACACTAGTCTGTATAAAAATTGCCCTTTTTTCACACGATTAGAAGTTTAGAATACACCTATGTATTTGCTTCAATAAGCTGCATCGTTCGATTTCGAAACCAGCAAATGAAAGTTTAAATAAAAACTAAATAAATTACTAATAAAAGTAATTTCGTTTCTACTGTGAATAAACCAATTTTCTATATCGTAAAATTCATAAACTTTACTTAACCTTGAACACAGAAGGTTTTCAAAACAAAACTTACAAAACAATACAACAGATCATAATATTATTACATTATTTTTAAATATATTGTTCGTTTTGCGTTGAATCAATTCATTAAATTCAATCGTTACACAAGGAGCCTCCAAACTTTTCCAAATTCCTATTTTTTATGTATTAAACACTTGTTCGTTTTAGTCAATTATATACTTAATTTCTATTAAATACATTGCCCTTTTTATATTTCCCATAAAACTCAACTAAGCTTTAAGTGGCCCTATTATCAGCCTATGCAACAAAGTCACAGAACACCTGGTGTTAGGTCTGAACACTACATTGTCAATAAATTAATTAAAAATAATAAGCATAGTTAAAAAGTATTTTTTTAAAAAGCAGTAGAAAGAAGTACAAAATCGAAAATCATTTAATTTCTGAGGCAAGCCTTCTGTCTCATTAATGGTAGTTTGACGTATGAGCATGAATTAGGGTGTGTGTGTGAGATTCTAGACGTTTATAGCTAAACGGCCAGGTCAGAGACCCTAGAGACCAGAGGTAACT